TATCATCACTTTTGGTAAGTTTACATATCCAAGGATTATATAACTCTTTTCTCATGATTAGATCCCTTCTCTTAAACATTTGTGGTAATCATACTCCTAGAATCACCTCAAGTTCGAGATTCACATCAAGGTGTTGCTAGGACCAAAAGTCTTCTTCTTATCTTCTTCAAAAACCGAAACAACTAAGCAAGGTGAGTTCATACCCCTCTATTTTCGGTTTTCACATGTTTTATGGGGGAGAAATACAAGTAAATGTGTAGATCTATGTGTGATTTGTATGTTTTGTGTGACTTCTTGTGTTTATGTGGTAAATATGTGCCAAAAATGAAAGATATTTCGAGATCTATAGTTCAAGAAGGAAAAATATGTGATCTAGGATGTATTACACTTAACAAGTTAAGAAAAACTACCATATAAGGTTTATAATAAACATGTTACAACATAAAACTCATTATTGGACTATTTTTGTCAAATAAACAAAAGTTGGGGAAAAAGTTGTCATTTACGGTTTTTACAAGGCTCAAAAGGTCAAAACAGTTAAAATAGAATTTTTTATGAACATTATGTTTTTCAAAGGACGAAAAATGTAAATTGTAGCCTATTGGGCTAAAATTTTGGGCTTTTCGACCCATAGGCCCAAATTTGCGAAAACAAAATATTGGTTTTAAGGGGCTGAAATGGTGAATTTCTCAACATAGTGGGTAGAAAAGTAAATAAATCTATTTCAGGGGGTTAACAATGACCTTATTTGCCAAAAAGGATTAAAAATGTAAAGTTTTTGGATTTTGGGTCAAAGTTGTAAAAGTTGCAAAAAGTTTGGATTATGGATGAAAATCTTTTTACTAAAGGGGTTGAAACTGCCAAAAAGTAAGCATTGGGCTGAAAACATTATTTAAATAAGTCTTTGGGCCAAAATGTCAAGAAAAATAATTTAAGGACCTAAAATGTCATTTTTATAAAAAGGGACTAAAATTGTCATTTTTATTAAAGAAGGGCTGAATAGGTCAAACCAATATTTTTGAGTCAATTATTTTATTATTAAGATATTTGGGTCAAAAATACCAAATGATAACTTATGAATTTAGAATGAAAGATATACATATATTTTCATAAATTTAAATATCGTTATAAAACAATCGACAAACTTTGTGCCTTTGCGATTCAACAATTGTTCAAACAGAATTCCCGACATTTATACTATACAAAAACAAGTAAACATTCAAATTGTTGGGCTTGAAAGATTTAATCATGCTTATTGGGCCTTCATGACCCATTAACATGACTTTTGGGCCTAACATACATAATACATGCTTATTGGGCCTCATGTGACCCAATTACATGCTTAAGGGACCCTCAATGGCTTTTACATGCTATTGGGCCCCAGTGGCCCATTAGCATTGCTAGTAAGGTCCAAATAAATCATATGCGAAATGGGCCAACGCGCCCTTCGTATACTCGACAGCCTTAAATAACATACGTGATTAGTAGGACCTCGTAGTCCTCTTCTCCTCGTCTGTTAGGCTTACCTTCTATTCAAGTAAACAAAAATCAGGTCGTTAATCAAGGTTATTCAAATTCAATTGGATTAAGTGAGTAATAACGGGCGACACCAAAAGGTGTCGGTCGTAGTCTGTAGTTATAATCAAAGTCTCCTGGAGGGAGAGCGAGAGTTTGTGTATAGATCTATACGGGGGTGACTCCCCCACACCTAAGCTGTTCGCTACAGTTAGACTCGACCAGTCTAGGGTGACAAAATCTTAAGATCAATTCCGGCGTTCGCTAGAATGCCAAGACAGACGAACTAGTCATTATCATGCATGGTTATAACGCCTCACATAGAAATCCAATACCATCTAAGTAATCATGGGAAATCATATTATTCGTTGTGACGATACATAATACAACGATCCTACTATTTATCGGAAAAATCGGGCAAACATCTCGGGTTTTCGGGGGAAACAACAGTATCCACTTGTACTTTCAATAACTATAATGCCAAGAATTATCATGGGAAACCTATCATTTTTACACGTTTTGAATCATTCACGATATCGTATGGATCATCACACCTTTTGTATAAACAATTGTCGTGTCAGAAAATATCGGATTTTCTGGTTTTACACAAACCATACAAAGCATTTTCTATCAAACCTGCTTATGAACTCACCAACATTATATATGTTGACCGTTTTCAAATAACTTGTATTCTCAGGTAACAGATAAGCTGAAGAACAATACCAAGTGTGTTAGGATGTTATGTTTTGAAAACTCTCAAACAATTTATGCTATGAAAATGTAATATTTAAGCAATGTATTTGATGTGAACAAGGTCAGTTGTAATGTATTAATGCATGGTGATGCTTATGTTATGTTTCATGTATATTCATTGTGATGATATTTCAATTTAAGTCACGCGAGCCCTCAGACGTTTCCGCCGTCTGATGTTGTTTTAATAATATATAATGTTTTAACTAGATGAATATATTTATATAAACCCGTTTACGTTTAATTTTCCTATAAATGTCTAATGGTCAAATTGTTATGTGAATGCTTCTAGTATCGTATCATTGTTTTTTTTGTGGCTGTTCACTTTTACGAAAGTCTGATTATTATATATATATTAAAGTTGTGGAAGAAATGAATAGTAAACTTGGGATACTTTGTCCAAGTTTGGTCCCTTGATTTACATATCCGGTCCCTGTACTTCTTTAATTAATTTATCATGTCCTTTGTTTGTGTTCCATTCAACTTCCCATTCTTTTGGCAGAATTGGTCCCTGTATTATTGTTGGAAGTTAGGAATACTAAATTTGTATGTTTTTTTGGCAACTTTGGTCATTATTCTTTACCCATTTTGACAGTTTTGGTCCTTGCAATCAATATTTTTACACTTTTTTGGAACCTTTTAATATTTAAAGTTTGGCCACAAAAACTTTAACGGTTTTTGACAACTTTGATCCATTTTCTAAAAAGTTGCTAATTCCTACCCATTTAATGCTTTAGCCCTTTTTCACACTTCGGTCCTTGCAGTCAAAACTTTTACATTTTTTGTCCGGGGCAAAGCTCGGACTTTTCATCCTTGCACTTTCTATGTCTGTCATATTTATCAATTCGGAAACAACATTGAAAGCTTATGGCCCCCGCGTAGCGGGGGTAACCTTTCTAGTTAGACATTAAAGTTTTAAAGGAAAGAAAGAAAACAATTTAAAAGGAGAAAAAGTCAAAAACCCTTTAAAATTAATTTTTATTAAATTTTATAATTAATATTAAATAAGATAAATTACACAAATGGTCCTCTTTTAACGTAATTTGCATGTTTGGTCTATTAACATTTTTTTTTATAAATTCGGACCATCCTAAAATATATATATATCTGTCACAGATTTAATCCATAATTGACTTAAAATGACCAGATTATTCTTATTTTTATATTTTTTTTCATTATTTATCTATTAATATAATTAACAAAAATAGAAAAAAAAATCGAAATCAAATAAGAACATTGTTGTCGTCGACTCCACAGGGCATTCACCGCCTCATACCCGCCGTCGGAAATCACCTCAGCCGTCCACCTCCGATCCTCTTTTTCGCCGACTTATAACATATCTATAAATCAAGAGGAACTGGTGTGTAAGAACGGCGACTTTTCCCCTTCGCCTACATGAGTCCTACACATGGACGAAGCTTGCTTAGGGCAAGGGGGGGCTATGGCCCCCCCTGAATTTTTTTGTTAGAAATAGCCCTTCCACTTTAGTTTATATACATATTTAGCCTAAAAATATAAAATTTATGTTGTGGCCCCCCCTGCTCTCCGATTTTCATGTATATTATACTTTCGGCCCCCCCAAAATAAATGTCCAAGCTCCGTCACTGGTCCTACACCTACATTGATTTGTAGATCACACCACCACCGATTCGCACACCTGCCATGACCACAAACCCTCTTTACAGTGACTAACAGATACATTCTTGTTTTACCGGTGTCCTTTTTTGTTGTTTCATACACTGAAATAGAACTCATTAACATAAGGCGTGGTCTGTAAATTCGAAGGGATTGCTTATTGCTATTTGCTACATACCATGAAGTGTACATGAACTAGATGAAGGTACGAACAGCCTCTGCTGGAACCCCGTGTATTTAGATTGTATGCTCGTTTGTTTATTTCTTAAACATACTTATGAAAACAGGTAATATCAGACCATGTTGGTATAAACATGGATCCAAATGTAGAAAAAGTTTTTTATGGGATTTTGTTGGATTTGATGGCATAAGGTTTAAAATCTGGAACAATGAATTCATCGATTGGAATGTAATTTATGTTTCATCAGATTTTGTGTGTTTTTTATGATTTCTATTTCATCGGGTTTTCTAGTTTTGAGATTTCAGTTTCATAAGATATTGGTTTTGGTTTTTTGCTTTTTCACAAAATTGATTTTTAGTGGTTACGAGCTTGGTTAAGGTGCTCGCCGGAAAGACGAAGGAGGTGGGCGAAGAGGAAGGTGAAGTTTTGGCCGGAGAAGAAGGGGATGAGATGGTGTGGGTTGTTGTACATAAGATTCAACTCATTGTACTGGATGGTCTTTTAATTAATTTTATAATAAAAGAACAAATAAATAATAATAACTAAAAAAAATATAAATAATATCCAATGAGGGTAATCGGGTCATTTTACGTAGGGACAAAATCCGTGACAAAGATAAACTATAGGGATGATTCAAGTTAGAAAAAAAAATTAGGAACCAAACATTCAAATTACCTTAAACCAAAGGGACCATTCGTGTACAGTTTACCCTATTAAATAACAATAATGTGGTTATAACTTATAAAGATTCAACTCGTTTAGTTTTTGTGATTAGAACACTACGCCGCTATAGTCGCACGAGTGATGGAAATTTCAAATATTATGATATTTGAAATCAAAAGTATGCTTCTGTATAATCTTCAAAACAATCATCGACAACCTCGATTCATGCAACTAGCTTCCAATCTTCTCATCCACAATGGTAATGTCATTTCAACCTTTTAATGTTATCGAACCATGGGTATTCGAAACCATCACCCCATCACAATTTATCACCTTCACAATGCCAAACCCGCTTAACCACCGTCGGTTGCTCCACGCTCTAGTGATCCGCGTCGCTGTACTCGATTCTCCGATCGCCACCGCTGACGATGAGGTCCCTTTAATCGCCGCCATGATTGTACCTAATCACCGGGAAACAGACTGGAACTTCTGTACAGAATCCGGACATCTTCAGCTCCTATATGACTCCCACAACGTCTCCCGCCTTATCCTAATCGGTAATAATCCCCCGCCTAATCCAGAACCCTCTATTTATATTCGTCCTCAAGTTACTGGTCCCTTGGAGAAACAAAGACTAGAAAACGAATTGAAACCACTACTCATGGCTTTGCATCCGAAAGTGAGTTTTCATCGTCGTTTGCCAGAAACCATAATCTTAACATACGAAGATGATGTGGTGTATCGTGTGACTATAGCTAAATTTGTAGGGCCTGTTGTTGGTGAATTTCGTCGTTGAAGATGTTGAACTGGAGGGTAACCGTGACAGAAGTAAAATGCTCCGGAGGAGATTGAGGTTTAAAAGAATGCCTAATTTGATACAATCTCAGGTCCCTCTTATACATGTTATTGGTGACGACGAAGCTACAACACAGGTAGACTTGGAAAGTTTGAGGAAGATAGTAAACGCAAAGTTTGACGTTGATACAACTGTTTTGGTTCACCCATACTTGCCTCCAATGGTTGCTGGTCTTTTCTTGATTGCTTCACATCTCAATGAGCGAATTCAACAAGGGTTTACTCCAAGAGCTTTGTGTTTAGGGATTGGTGGTGGTGTTTTGTTAAGTTTCTTGAAAACTCAATTGGGTTTTGATGTTATTGGAGTGGAGGCCGATAAGGTTGTTTTAACTGCTGCAACAAAGCATTTTGGGTTTAATAAATCGGGTTCTATTCGACTCATTGTAGGAGATGCTATAGAAGTGATACAAAACTTTCCGTCCCAAAAGATAAAAGGGGACATAGATGGTTCAAAGGTTAATAATGATGTCCTAGATACTAAATTTGATGTAGCTATGGTTGATTTGGATTCAAATGAGGCTCAAAATGGAATTAGTGCTCCACCACCAGAATTTGTTAAGAAACCTGTTTTTAAAGCTGCGAGATCACTTCTTGATGATCATGGTGTCCTTATTATCAATGTGGTTCCTTTAAACGAACTATTTTATACGACATTGGTAAAAGATCTTAAGGATACTTTCATACGGTTTATGGAATAGATGTTGGGAATCAAGGTAATTTTGTTGTTGTGGCTACCATGTCACCAACTTCCTCCAATGACCATGATAATGATTTCTTGAAGAAGTTGACATCTGTGATTCCTGGAACTTATAAAGATACCATAGTCGAATTGTGAAGCATCCCTTATAACAACTTTAATAGCAACTTCTTTATGATTAGTGCATTTTCTATCATGTCCAACATGTTATACCACATGTGTATTGTAGCATTCTCGTTCTTGCAACTTCTATCTTCCTTTCAAGCACGTTTTTCATATATAGTTGGATTAACCGACACACTATAGAATTTTACTTTTAATTTCAACATAACCTTTTTTGTCGCACAATACTTATGTGGTTTCCGTCTACTTTATGTTAGAAAAAATGGTGCAGAAATAAGATTTTTGATAATCGAAGAATGATTGGATATTTGATAATCGTGTAAATTCATTTTCCGAACTGATATGTCAACTTTATGTATAGGTTTCAGGAAATTTAATATTGGATAGCCCTTAAGGATATTTTAAGTTTTACACACAAAATAGATCTCAATGTGTCCCCAAAACTAAAGGCTCTTCTCTTTGGACCTTGCAAAGGGTGATGCGTTTTGACCTTACAAAGTGGTGTGGCCCCTTGACCATTGTCTTTCGTCGTGTGCTCGGGATCAAACGCGTCTATTAAACAAGTTTACACTTTGCACCATCTAACTTGTTTTTTATCTTTATTTAATTCCCTATTAGAACTTGTGTTAATTTTAATTACACTAAATAACTAGTTACACTAAAATTGTTAAATACTTTAACCATCTTGTTGTTGTGCGATGGATAACATCGTCTTTTATATCCTTAATTTGTGGATCATATATCTTACGTACATGATCTCTCCTTTGGGTATAATACTTACTCCCACATGCGAACTTCTATTCCCTCCTTGCTAGTTTTCTCGCTGAATTGGACTAAAAATATTATGTCATTACTATACCAAGATGTAATCATCTTTCTTCCTGACTTCTTCCTCCAAATATCCATCTTAGCATTTAATTCTCTCTCCTCCAAATATCCATCTTAGCAGTTAATTCCATCATTATCTCTCGCCACCAATACAAAGTCACCCACATTTCCATTTTCAATTGAAATCATGTGGACTTAAGAGTGACCACAAAACACATTATCTACTACTAAAAATTATTGTCATGTGTACAATGGTCACTTTATAAATTGTGTGCCAAAATTAGCAATAAGCCATGGTTGCCTTAGTCGTATGATCTCTTTTATTTAACATTTATGTCACATGTTCGAACCTAATAGTAACAGTTTTTTTGCATGCGGGTCATAAGGGTCATAAAGCTCCGACCTACTTCAGATCTAACAGAAGTTCATCCCATTCAACACAAAACCCGATCCATACAAGATGTAGGCTCATATATGATCCCTCAACCTTTTCATTTTACAATTTTGACCCAGGTTTTTTTTTTTTTTTTTTGTCCACACTTTTTTAACAAATTCAACCAACCTTTTTTTTTTAAACTTTGTTTTTAACTAGTGGAGGGGCCATGCTTCGCATGGATCAGAAGGAGTTGTTTTAGATTTTTTTCTTTGGAACTTCATTGCCCTTTGACACACAACCATATCAGGTGATAGAAAAAAAAAAAAAAAAAAACAACAACAATATGCCAAAAAAATAGCACGTAGGAGTAGTCTCCTATGGTTAACATACTATTCCATGTGACCAAAGATCCTAATCCAAGAATCCAGCATACAACGATCGCAACAAACTTCCCTGAAATTTCAAAATATTATCGTTTTTGGAATTATTCATGGTATAAGTTACAAAAAATAAGCAAAAAATTGGCAAAATAATTGTGGAGCCTTGTAAAAAGTTGGAAGAAAATTCAACACAAACCTCAGATTTCACTGGAGTTTGGTTTGGAGAGACTATAAAATGAAATAAAGGTAATGGATTTTTCTAACTGAAATAGAAATCAAAACATTTCTAATCAATTAGACCATGATTTCTAAAACAAATTAAACAGATTACCACATTAACAACAGATGATTCAGAATAATCATGAATTATAAATAAGTGAGACCAATGAACACCTTAGCAAGCTAATCCAGATCAACTTCAGGATCCTCTTCAGCCCATTGAACAAATGGATATAAAGTAGCATCAAGAACAAAATGTCGCTTTCATCCAGCCCTAAACACATGTGCTGCAGTCTGAGAATTTTTTTTAAAAAAAGAGTAGAAATATAAAATATAATAAAGTGAGTAAACTAAAATGGTTGATATTTTTGTAAAAAAGAATTACTTACAGCATGAGATGAGAACTTCACAAAAGCAAAACCATGGTTTTAAATTTTTTGCTCGTTGTCTCACTACCATGGGGCATAGCAAGATCAATGGAAACAATATCTGGACCCTAAATGAAGAAAATAACTAAAATAAAAGGAACTGAAAGACTGAAATTGTAATGAAGAGGTTATTAAAAGTTAAAACAAACCTTTGTTAAGGTTTCCTAAAAATAATGTATCCTGTGAAGCTGATGGAAGAACACCAATCTTTTCACCTTCTAGCTGGAACATCAAGGCTAAAAGGTTAAACTTTATAAAATTCTAAACACTTTTCAGTTTATTTAATCAAAGAGTACAAACTTGTGGAAGTATATATTATCTATGGGATTGCACTACACTAACAACAACTTGGATGAGTTCTATGCACATGAAAATATATAAAGATAAGAAGAATATTTTTTGTACCATGGATCCAGATAACTCTTTTAGATCAAATCATAAATTACAGATGTAACAATGATAAAAGGAAATGGAAAAAATGACATAATCATTTCATCGAATACCTCGTGGGCAGAACTTCAGCTCCACCACTAAACATGGTAGTTTCATGGGAAAATCCTCCAGAATCCAGATGTCATACGCTTCACACTAGTATTCTTTTTCTAATTAAGGAACACAATTTCAGCATTAATAGCAGAAATTGAAAAAGTTATGAATTAAATGTGATCGAGTCTTATGGGTTTTTTGTTTACTTAGATTTCATTTGAAAACCCATAACAGAAAACCCTTGATTTATGAACATCTCGTTTTCAACTTAAGTCGCTCTCAACCTCTAATCAGCACAGGGTAATCAAACAACATATGTTGGCATGAGGAGAACAAAAAATAAAGGAGAACAAAAATTTTAAAAACAGAGTTCATGATAGGAAGAAACAAAAATAGAGGTAAAGCCCTTTACCTGAATCAATTGTAGAGCTTCAATGAACCAATCTTTGCAGGTATCCTTTCTAGGTGTCGATGATTGTGGTGGATGAAACTGGACCTAGGCAAACAGATTTCATAGAAACATAAATTTGTAATTGTTACCTCAATGATAAAATGAAGATCAAATCAAAAGAAAAATAAAGTAGGAAAATCCAATTACAGAAAATGATATTTAAAAAACCCTAATCTAGAAGGGATGAAGGAAGAAAGCGTACCTTGTGTTTAGATACACGAAGAAATCCAACCTGTAAGAACATACGCAGAACAAAGAAGGAAGACGACGAGGGCGGAGGAGAGGCAAAATCGAAGAAGCGCAGATGGAGCACAGAAGAGCAAACGAATACAGTCTAGCTGATTTGGTGAATGGTGTTGGTTCCGCAGTTGGTATAGAAAAGGGACGGAATTTCAAAGTCGACATCAAGAGTGAGAGTATTGCAATCGACGCACTGCGATTTGGTGTGGTGATGAACGGCGGTGGTTTAACTGTGCGTATTGTTCATTCGGTGGATGAATAAAAGAATAAACAGGAAGTAGACAGAGGTCAGTGTTAGTGGAAACGATCTATTCGATGGTAATGGCGACTGTAGGAGAAGCAGAATCCGACTGGTGGTGGTGATGGTTGCGTTAACTAAGCATGGAGGAGATGAATTGCAGAACCAGTGAAAAAGATTAATGAGAAAGAAGATTTTAGGAAGACAATGGCGGTGGAAGCAACGGTGGAGAAGATAGTGGAAGACAGCTAGCAGCCATGCTGAAAGCCACATGTTTCCCATCGCGGACCAAGCCACCGGTGGTTGACTAAGGACTCAACTCTAGAAAAAATAAATAGACCAATAAACAGTAAGAACTGTTCTTAAGGGAACATGGTTTTTTATCTTATTATATAATTTGTTTTAAAAAAAAATAGTTTTTTATTTAGAAAATTATATTTCTTACAAATTCTTTCAAATCTTATTTAACAATATATATTTTAACAAATTTGTATTTATAGAATTATTATTTTACAATTTTTTTTAAAAAAATAATAAATTTTATGCCTATGTTTTTTTAAAGATTTCTTTGTTTTTACAGTTTACTATTTTTTTTAAAAAAATGTTTATTCTAATTTTTTTTTTTATATTCGTTTTCATATAGGTATGGCTGTAAAAAAAATGTAACAATTCATTTTTACAGATCAGAAATACATTATTACGTATAATTAAACTTAATTCACCATAATTATATATTACATATTATACTTGCATAAAATTCAATAATATCGTGCGTGGTGCAAACCGGAATATTTTGGTTAACTTTTGATTTTAAATTTTTTACCGTTTAAGCTAAAAATGAAATTCCCCCTTCATGTAACTTTGAGAAGGTTTAAATATGTTATATACTACTATCAAAGTATGTGTAACTTGAAAGGAAAACCCAAAATTTTCAAAGGTAGTAGTCTTTGGCTTGATTTGGATATCCCTCTTTTCCCCTCTATGAGAAACATGATCGACTGGATTGATGAGAGGCCGAATGTTAGACAACAACGGACGTTTGTAGACTCGGTGATTTCTGTGGTGATTTGGGTGCTTTGGACGTTCCGTAACGGTGTTTTGTTTAGTAGCAATAAGCCTAGGAAAGATAGGATCTTTGATTCCATTGTCGATATTTTTTTTCGTTTGTTTTCGTGTTGTAATTCTAAGGCTAGGACTAATTGGAGTTTGTGGCTTCAAAATCCTATTCAACCTTAATGTTTTGTATTTCTAGCTTCTTGCTAGCTTTGGTTTTTTAATATATGTTTTGCTGCCGTTCAAAAAAAATAAAAAATTTCAAAGGTAGTTTATTAAAACCCTCACATTTTCAAAAACTCGTTTGTGTATTATTCGAAGATTTTATGTGTTTTTACTAATTAACACAGATATCCCTCCCAAAATCAATTTTTCCATATGTGTGTCATGTACACATTCATGTATACATCTAATTTGCATTATTATTGTGGCTGTTACATGAATTATAGAATTTCTCCATTGATTCCAAGCTTTGAGTGAATGACAATTTAGTTTTGTGGATGCATGTTCAATCAAACATAACTTTAGGAAACGCTATTAATTTTTCCTGATTTTTTATAAAATTTATTGATGCCCTTCAAAAAAAAGATTTATAAAATTGTTCAAAGGAAAAAAAAATCAATTAAAAAAACCAGTTATAGAAATTGAATTCATTTAGTTTTACTGTTTAGAATGCCTGGCCGGAAGGAGGATGAAAATTTTGTCAAACCTGACGATGAATCCCCAATAATCATTGTTGTGATTGCACCGAAGAACCGAGAGATAGATCGAACTTTCTGTATTGAATCTGGGCATTTTCTTATGCGCGTCGTTCATAACATTTGACATTACCATTTTACCCTTTTTGTATGGTTCTTCAAGTGTACACCCTAAATCTTTAACCAAGAAAATGGTTGGTTTATGTGATTGCTTTCACCCTTTTTAGTGTGTATTAATTTGTAGTGGTCATTGTTGAAGGGTCAAAGGTTGTTTCTGGTTCCATATGGAAAGCACAAGTAGGTATGAAATAATGAAGAATGATTTATTGAAATCGTCTCTGTGGTTTGCAAAAATTTCACGTTTAGTCTCTATTTTTTTGTTTTGCACTTGGGTCGTCTCTATAGTTTGTTTGCAATTCGTTTTTTGTCCCTGGCAGAAGTACAAAGATTATTTTGCCCTTTGTATTTTATTTTTCATTTTATTATTATTTTATTATTATTTATCAATTAAAGAAATCAATTAAATGATTTATAAACATGTGATAACCACAATTAGTCACCTATAACCACCACCGGTCACCACCGATAACCACCACTAGTCACCGACAACCACCACCAGCCACTGACATCCACCACCAGCCACCAGAAAACATATTTCAAGAAAAAAAAGAAGAATCCCAAACCATGAACCAGAACCTACCACCATCACTCCCATCAAACACCACAACCACCACCCCTTCCCACCTCCCTCTTGTTCATTCATCACTCCCATCAAACACCACAACAACCACCCCCTCCCATCTCCATCTTGTTCATTCATTGGACCGTCGACGAGCACATAAAATCACCCAAAAACCTTTGAGTTTTGGCACAATCAGCTACCACAACTGTCACCCCACTTTCCTTGTTGTTTTTCCGTTGAGCCCCCTACATCCGCGTTCATCGACTTCTCCTCTCCCTCCCATATTGTAACATTCATGTACTTGGATGAATCGAGTTAGGATTTTGGAGGGTCAAAAGATTGGATTTTTGTGAAAAGGGGGCCCTCACGACATGAGGCATGGAGGCTTACGACGTGAAGAGGGCCGCATGAAGATTTCATCTGATATTGAACTCACGACGTGAACAATAAGAGCTCACGACATGAGGAGCGCTGCAGACCAAGCCCACAAAGTTTTAGGGTTTCCCGCGAATTTAAGCCCCCTTAACTCGGTTTTAGGGTTCATTTCGCAGCCTCCACCTTCCCATAACTCAGTAAAACCCTAACCTTAGCCTTTCTTTGTATTTCTTGAGCTTTTGGTGGAGTTTTGATGGTTTAAAGAGGAGGGGATCACCATGGAAGCATAGTTGCAGTTTGAAAGCCTCATTTGCAACCTTTAGCTACACTTTTGGACCAATGTGAGTAATCAAGATCCAAGCTTTTGATGGGTTTTAGGTAAAACAAATAAACTAGAAAACAATTCCTAAGTTCACATGCAACCTACTTTGGATCTATGTTTTAACTATTGAACATATAACTTTGAATTGCAAACAAGAACCCTAGAGGAGAGAGGCTTTTCGAAAATAACTAACTAGGGGTTTAAGAGTTACATACCTTTCAATTGTTATAGCAAACAATTGATAATCCTCTTGAACTTGATCTTCTTGGAAGCTTAGCACCACAAATGTAATGCCTCTAATGAAATCACACCCAAGAACTAGCAAGAAGGAAACTTGAAGGAGAGAGAGAGAGAGTATGCAAAATCAGCCCTAGGGTTTCACCAAAGAAGGAGTGGCCGAATTTAGGAGCTGGGAGGCTCCTTATATAGCTGAGGGATCTAGGGTTTAGGGAAAACCCTAATACTCCTTTGCTTGGGCCTAAGCTAATCCAAAGGCCTTATCCAAAGCCCCTTGGACGAAATCCTTAGGGTTTCCCCTATAGATTTCGTCCACCTCCCTCCAAGGAGGTTCTGGAGCCTTCCACTCAACTATTAGATAATTGCAAACTAGTCCCTGCACTTTATAATTAATACTTTTAACCCCAAATTAATTCTGATTAATTTCTGGCTAACTATTAATTAAACATAATGATTTCTAATTAATATATTAATCTTTTAACATATTAATAAATCATTTATATCAATTTATTAATCTTATAATAAATCAATATCTCTCCTTTCATAATTTCCTTGTCCAGTTGCTAGGTTTGAAGGCAACCCAAAAGGACTGTGCTGCTATCAATTCAAGTACATACCAATTATAGTTATGGGCTTAGACACCTAATCCAACAGTCTCCCACTTGGATAAGTCTGTAACTATAATTGCTAGTATGCCTTCTAAATTTGACCAGCAAATTGTAGCTTCCAAAAGCTGCTGCTGAACTCTGACCCAGTCAGTTACGTGTCCTTAGATAAGTGATCATATAATCCTTCGTTCTGCAAGATATCCCAGACATAAGACATGGAACGAAATCAATCTCTTTGTCCAGAATCTATGTTTCCCGATTTCTGATTTGTGATGATGTAGGACTTCTAATTGAACACATCAATTTAGTCCTGGCTGGGCCCAGCACATAAGTCAACACCAAATCATCGAGGGGCCCACATATATCGCTTTTCCGGTTAGGGCAAAAGGAATGAATAAACGTTGATTCATATGCTTGTATCTTTTACTCATCAAATTATACATGACAATATGTTTTATAACACCAAGTTACTGATGTCTTTTCGTATCACCAATGTATAACTGACTTTGTAAATTACAACTCATATATCTTCGTTTCAAGATTATAAGATATTATCGTCTCAGTATTACTCGTGATGAATTCCATGAAGTGATACTCTGAGCGAGGGTTTATCCAATACTCAAATCTCAATTTCTGAGTACTCATGAACGTTGCATCAATTTTATTGCCATGTCTATCCTTAGACAATCTGCAATCCAATTCATGACAGTCTTAATTCACTACTTACTTCCAAAGTACGAGCGACTGTGGAGTTTGAATAATCTTATTATTCGGGAAGTAAAACATGCAAA